TTCACATCATTGATGTTTACAAAATCAAATCCAAAAACAACAATAATAATAGGGCAATGTAAATATATACATCGGTGATCACATTATGTTATCATTGACTGAAAAACAGAGGGTGAAATGATGGTGCTTACTTTTGTTCCTCATTATGGGTGGGTACAGAAATAGATGGACCAGACTCAGTCGACTGACGGGAAATACAGAACAACGAACCACCCTCCTTCCGATGTAAGCCTTCGCAGCGGTGAGATGAAGTGGAATAGTAGTGGCCGACGATAGTAGACGGTGGACGATGACGGTGGTGAGGCGATGCAAATCTAGGGTTACGGTTTCAGAGTTTTTTGGGGCCGACGATGAGATTTCTTTGGGAAATCAATGTTTTGTGGATTGAATAGATGAAATAGGAATGGTTTTTTTTTTCAGAATGGAGTAGACGCGAGAGAAGTGAAGGGAGGGTAATTTCGTCCTATTACAATGAATGGACCTAATGGAATAATAAAAAATGATTTGGGTTTTATGGTATAAAACTGTTAGGAATAGGATTTATAAAAAAAGCTCCCTAGAATTTAAATTGACACAATTAAAAACTCAAGATTTATCCCCAAATTTTTTCGCATGATTTTTTAACTCAAAAAATATGTCTAAAAAAAATGAGTTTGAATATTGTAAAATGAACAATTCAGTTGGGTTGACATAAAAAAAGAAGAAGAAGAAGAAGTTGCGCAATGGTAATTTTTATATTAAAAAATTATTTTTACAATTATTTAAACTATTGTATTAGTAATCAAAAGGTTTAAATTATTGCATAGCATATAATAATGAAGTTTTAAAATTTAATATGAGACTTAAGAAGAAATGCTATTTAAAAAAAATTATTAATTTGTACTCATTAAATATTTTAGTCCTTTTTTATTGTAAATATTATTATTATTTTTTTTATGAGTGGTGTTACATGTATTAATTAGTGTACTAACTAGTGTACCAACACTAGTTATGACATTATTATTGATCACACTTATTATACAAATTATAAATACTAAAATATCTTAAATTATAAGTGCTGCTATTAGCACCTTCCTTTCTTTTTTGGACTGCCCACTTCTTTGAACCCTCATCCAGCTAAATGAGGCCCCTCAATTTTCTCTTTGAACCCCCACCTTAATTCTAACTATATCCTCACTCTAACCCACTTTCCCAACCTAACCATTGTCAGCTCCGGCCACAACCTCTACCGCCGGTGCCACTCTCCGGTCAACTCCAATCCAAAGCTACTTTTCGGTCAACTTCATCACGACCCCCACAGTTGACCACCCCCAGCAGCTTCAAATAACCTCAATCTAGAGCCACCGCCGCGAGCCCTCTCGCTCTCTCTTACCACCATCACCTAGCCACTATCGTCAATCGCTGCTCATCCCAACTCAAATCGCGATGGCAACAAAGGTGACTAGGGTTTAAGGCCACAGATCAGGACGACAACTAGGGTTTGAGGTCACAGATCACGACGGCGGCTAGGGTTGAGATCTCAGATCCCGACGACAATGGAGGTGGCTAGGGTTTGAGGTCACAGATCGTCGTCCCCGTCACCATCGCGCCTCCAAACCTTATCGACCCAACCATGCGCAGAGAGAGAGAAAGAGAAAAAGAGATTTCAGTGGCGGTGGGGTTCGTGATTGGTAGGGGTGGAGATCACGTTTGCAGTGGAGATTGCAATTTCAAAAGAAGAAGAAGAGGCAGATGGAGGTGGCGATTAGAGGTGAGAGGCTGGTTGACAGCCGGTGGATGTGGTAGTTGGAGTTGAGAGGGGTTAGGGTTAGGGTTTGAAAAATTAGGGTTAGAAGATGAGGGATAAGGGTAAAAGTGAAATTTTATGTTGGGATAAAATTGGAAATAAAAAAAAAATGGAAGAGGTGGGGGTCAAGAAATTCTATTTTCACACACCTAATTAGCTCAGGGTACACATTTAATGAAATATTAATTTAATGACAATTACATCCTAAACAACAATGACTACAATAGACATCCAGCAACACCCATAATATTATATGAAAAAATTCTCTGTACACATCTTTTAAGAATAAAAAAATCTCAATATATATCTTTTGAGTTAAAAAAATTAAACCCAATTTTTCATTCTAACAACTGATCGCTACTTATCTTCTTTGGAAAACATGCTATGTATTGCCATACATCTGCGGATATGTTCACCACCGTTAATACCACCAAACTGTTGAACACCATTTGCTTCTTCTTTCTTTCTTTCCTTATTACTCTCACACTCTCTCTCTCTCTGTGGTTTCTATTACTAGCTTTTCATTTTTACTTGTCTCTCTCTTTGCTTGTGAATTGGGTCTCGTTCAATAATTAGTCGAACTAATACCATTTATTTGGAAGTTAATTTCCGAATTAACTCTATTGTTTCGAAAAACCAGTGTTGAAAGCCCCAAACCATAAATCACTAGAACGAAATTGAAGGTTGTATACCAATGGAGTGCACATAGATCCGAAAATAATAAATGTAATAACAAAATGGAAAGATGCTTTATTTTCAACACTATTTTTTAGGGTTTTCAATGGAGGTCTTCTATGCAAGTCTTCAATGGAGGGAATTTCACTTCAAACCAAAGTCTTCAAGGGCGTGGTAGGTCTACAAATGTGGAAAAATGGTCAATCAAAAGTGTGTGGAAAGGAGAGTTAGTGGTGTGTGTACAATGGTTATGAGTAAAATGTATAATTGTGACTTTAAGTGTGTGGACTGAAAAAATTAATTAATAATCAAGTTAGTAGGTGTGTATATTGAGACAAGATGTGCCCTAAGCTAATTAGGTATGTGAAAATAAAATTCTCCACGGGGGTCAAAGGAAAAAAATAAGTGTTAATATCATCACTCAAATCATCAATGATATACTAATTAGTGCACTAATTACTAGTGCATATAGGGATGCAGAGTCACTGATGTGCCCCTGCTGTGCCTTTTAAACGGCACCGTTTCATTTTTATTTTTTTCCTTTTCTTTCAGCTTTGTTCTTACAGTGCTATTTCACCCCCCATTTTTTTTTTGCTTGAGCTTTGTTCACAGTGCTGTTTTTCAGCAGTGATGTTGTTTAAAATAATGTAATTTTTTTTATTATTTTAAAATTAATCTATCAAATAAAAAAAATAATATATAAAATTAAGCTCACCATTTTATTTATTTATTTTCTTTAGATTTGTTCATAGTGCTGAATCTAAGATTTGAGACTCAATATGATATTTTTGGTTTTCAATTGAAATAATATAAAAAACATTATTATTATTTTGGAGTTAGTGTACTAAACCAAAATTAAAAATGGGTACACTAACACTCCTTAACGTTTGATGGAAATGCATGGACACTCCCTAACATTTTCAATATATCACAGATATCCTTTGACATTTGAAAGTTTTATCACAAACACTTCATGACATTTAATTAAATAAAAAACACACCTAGGATTCAACAAAAATACATAAACACTCCTTAATATTTTGCAAAAAAATTATAGACACCTCCTTGCACTTAAATAAATATGTGATAACATTAATTAAATTACTTATATGTATCTATGCGGGTATATGTGATAATGTTAATTAAATTATTTATGTGGATATCTATATATAATATGTAAAATTATTTTAAAAGTATGTTGTGATATTTACAATGTAAAAAAATTAATTTAACTTATATCATGCTATGAAAGTGTAACTTAATTTAGGGGCATTTACAAACAAGTCCCATTTTGTGAACTTATACTCCATTAAGTCCTAAATAAAATTATTTGCTCCTTCAAGTCCCATTAATTTGTAATAGACCAAATTATCCTTCCAAGAAACTCCAGGCGAGATCGATGTGGCCTTCCCTCTCCCTTCCGTCCTCAAGTCCTCCATCGACGTCCTTGATGGAGCTTCGTTGCTGGAAGCTTAGTAGTGAAACCTTGTCCAAAAACCTCCTCAAAACCTTTCTGGTGATGATCGTAACGATCTCGACTTGGATCATACACTCCCCCAACATCAAGCACAGCATCAAGCGTTTCCAGCACTTGGAAAAAACAAAAACAAAAGAGAGAGAGAGAGAGAGAGAGAAGAAAATTATGAACGGTAAAACAATCTAACTTGATATAAAAACACAACAATTGAATGATAGTGACCTTAGGGTCTCTGGTTCGAACGATTTCAACTGTAGAGAACTTGGTGGTGAGGCGAATCATGAAGCAGCCCAAGGCTTCGCTGCAGTGGAAGCTTCCGTCGTGAGTGCCGACTAGTTGCAGAGGAAGCTTTCTTGCCATGGCAGAGATGTATGTTAAAGAGAACGGATCTGAAGCTTTGGAGAAACTTACTGACAGAAAGGTATGGCATTGCCATGAAAGAAAGAGAGAGAGAGAGAGAGAGAGAGAGAGAGAGAGAGAGATGTGTTTTTTAAAGTTGAGAACCTTCTCAGTTTATAATATTCTCAATTTTAATCATGAAAAAAATTGAGAAATTTCTCAAAATTGATAATTATAAATTTTTTAATTTTGATAATATTCTTAGTTCATACTAGAAAAAAATTGAGAAATTTTTTAGTTTTGATAATTATAAATTGAGAACATTCTCAGTTTTAGAATTAAAGGGCAAAACGTCTTTTTACCTGTAAATGGGACTTACTGGTTCAAAAACTTTTTAATGGGACCTAAGCTACCACCAAATATGTAGATAGGACTTTTAGGTAATTAATTTAATATAATATAAGTGATAATTTTAATTAATTAATATATATACTTATATATATAGACATATAAAATTAAGTCATATTAATTTTTTTATTTGGTAGATTAATTTTAAAATAATAAAAAAAAGGACATTATTTTAAACAGCATCACTGCTGAAAAACACTCTGAACAAAGCTAAAAAAGGAAAAAAAAAGAAGGTGAAATAACACTGTAAGAACAAGGCTGAAAGAAAAGGGCAAAAATAAAAATAAAACGGTGCCGTTTAACAGGCACAGCGGGGGCACAGCTGCGGGGGGTCATTGTCCTGCGTATAGAGTAGTCAAATATCTTCTTCCCGAATGAAGCCGTAGAGAGAGAAAATATCAGCAAACGCACAGATTTAGAGAGAGAGGGAAGGAGAAGGAGAGAATGGCAATGGTGTCTAACTTAGCCGCAATTCAGAAGGTGCGAGTTCTGCAATTCTTCGGAGGTTTCGAGATTTATATTGTTGTAATTTTAAACTCGGAATTTCATTTTGGTTTTTTGTCAATTATATAGATATATATATATGATATACTCTCTCTCTCTCTCTCTCTGAGTTTTAGTTTTGATTTTGACAGTATTCACCGGCGCCCAAAGTTGTGTGCAGAAAGAAGGAGAGAGAGAGAGGAGGAGGAGGAGGAGGAAAAAGTCAAAACCACCCCTACAAAGTCATTGAAATTACGCCCTCCCCCAAGAAGCCTCGCAATTCGTTGCTTTCCCCCCCGTAAGCAAAATCCTAAACGATTCTTCTACTTCTTTTCTTTTCTTTTTTTTTCTTTTTTTTTTTAATGTTAAATTCTGGGTTTTTCTACTATGAATTCGTAGGGAAGGCTGAGAACTGAAATTTTATTTTTATTTTTATTTTTATACTAGTATTAAGCCCTTTGAGCACTGAAATTTATAGGTCATTCCTTATTTCTTGATTGCAGTTAATACCTTCTCAAGTGCATCTGCTACAGCTGAAAAATGAATTTTGTTCACACACTAATACACAAAATATGAATTGCTCAAAAAATGTGAATGTAATCACTCCACTCAAAGTGGTAGCCCCAATATTCTACACCAATCAAAATATGTATATTGTACTCACCCTCAAAGAGTGAACAAAATCGGACTCGTTATAGCTACAACATCAAGGAAAAATGTTCACCGTTACATTTCTTTGCCTATAAGATCATGCATTGACGTTGCTAATGTATCAAAGATAAAAGCTTAATTTAACCATTGACATGTGAACTATTTCTCACTTAGTTATAACTCAGTCGAACATGTTTTCTCTAGTTGATTTCCCTCTTTACTTCTCATTGTTCCCTTTTAACAAAACTGGTAAATTTTGTTTCAAAAATGCTAGTTCTTTGATATTTAAATGTTGAAAAGCATTCCTTCAAGAAGCTAAAACCCCTGTGGCTCTTAATGTAATTCCAATTGAACCCTCAATATGCATGGCCCAAGGACTCCAAAGGGTAATATCTATTTTTTGTGTGTGCATGTGTGGATTTCGAGATCTTTTATGACTGTTGCGAATATTGTTAGTTTTGATAGCTAATTATGCTCCATAATTAGTCAAACACTTCAGTGGAGTGCTGACATTTTAAAATGAGAGATCTACTATGAAATCGACTTAATGCTTGATGTCTTGGGCTACAATGTTTCTTTTTAATTTAATTTTTCTTTTATGTTCTGAATCGTAGTTGTATGGCAAACATTACTTGGTGCCAGAATACATAAACTTTGATGGGAACTATATTTTCTTTGAGATTTTGCACCCCTAAACCTTTGCTTACAAGCGTCTAGAAACTTGTAGGAATAGCACCGTCATTTTCATTTTCCTTTAGATTTAGCTCTTCCTGTTTTAACTTTAGGGGTTGGTAGATGGTAAGTGATTTGATTTTGTGGATGATGTTTGTAAAAGGTCTTGATACCAATCTTCCACATCCATATCATGAGGAAACAGTATAGATAGTCCAACTTTAGAGACAAAGAGGATATAGAGGTTTATGTGTAAGGGGGCTCTTCCAGTGAGACTCAGAGAGAGAATTGTTCAATTTTCATCTTGAGGTTATTTCACTTCTTTTGCCATTGTAGAAGAAAAAAATTAGAAATATTTTGAAATTGAGTCTTTTTTGGTTGAATGTTTTGAAATTGAGGCCTCGTTTAGGAACCAACCCATTTAGCCAAAAAATTAAAAAGTTATTTAAAAAGTCAAAAAGTCAACAATCCACACCAAAAAATCAAAGATTCTCTTTTCTCTCTACTTTTTGCACATCTTTTCGTAAAAAGTCAAAAAGTCATCTCAAGCATGCTAATTTTTTTTAGCTCATATTTTAGCCAAATAGCCAAAAAATTACTAAATTAGCCTGTTCCAAAATGAGGCCTGAGTCTCAAACACATAATGAGAAAAGGATGGTGAAGAAAGGATATTAGCAAAGAGAAAATTCTTTAAAAAATAAATATAAATAAATAAAGGGCATATCTGGTTATGGAAAGCTATTTCCAATAGATGATCTGTCAGCTTTGTTGTGCAAGTTGGTTGGAAGTTGTTCCTCCATGGACCATAGTTCTTAGATATACGCTTGAATAATTTTTTTTTCCTTCCTTTTCTTTACCTTTTCTCCTTTTTTGTGCGGTGTGTGGTTTGATGAAAATGAATTGCATTAAGAAAAGGACACGAATATGGAGAGAAAGTTACACACTTTTGAGGTGCTTGACTATTAAAAGGAAAACCAGGGTAGAGAAATAAAAAGGTGGGGCAAAGACTCACCTTCTTTTTCTCAAATCAACTCAGGTGTCACTTCCAAATTAATTCAGAAAGCAGGAAATTAGAAATCCATCGAATCCACACTTAACTAAAATTCAATGTACATCCCATCCCATACAGAACTTAATGGCTTGTATGTCATGTTGTCGACATAGTTGTGTTGATAGATTGGCATTGGCAGGGCTTGGTCTGGCATGATTTGTGAAAGGTGGGAACACCTAAAAATCATGTAGCAGCTGGGGCATAAATGTTGTGTGGTGTCTGATCTCGCTGTAAATTTTCTTCATTTTTTTTTTCCATGTAGCAGAACTTACAATGTGGGGAGAGCGTGACAATTGAAGGCCAAGCATATACAATTTCAGCTGTGACTCATCGTTACCAGCTTAGAAAGGGGAAGTATGAACCTAGTGAGAAGAGGCTTGATGTTCTGTCCACCGGGAGATACATCTTGAACTTGTATTTGGAAAATTTACTAGAAAACTCTTGACTTGACATGGACTTTTAAATAAGTTCCATTTTCATGCAGAGTAAGGAGTTAATCTAAGATCAATGTATTGTGTCATGATCCTGTTTGTTACTAATTCATTTAAGGTTAACCTTAATTATTGAGCTAAACTTATACAAACAAATATATTCAGGATCTCAAATGTAGAACGAAGTTTGTTTGTTGTATTAGAAACTTAAATTATGCTAATTTTGCATTAATATTTTTTATTCTGTCCTTAACATTGTCTTTTGTCTGTATAATTAATCCAGTGAAGATAAAATGGTTTATCTGTCATGGTAGTAACTCTGCACCTAGCTGCTGTTATGCTACTTTGATTTTGGCCTTCCTTATAGTAGTACATAAAGGAAATTGCTGCCTCTATAATTATTATGGGGTTATTTCCAATCCTTTCACTTTGTGAGACACAATTAACTAAGGATGGTAGTAGATATATAGGGTTTGTTTGGTGTATGTCGTTGAGGTTCCCATCGACCCCACCAACCCGACGAAAACCGCTAAAATCAGCAACCAATTGTCCCCCCGAGCAAAGGCCAACCTTACTGCCCTCCTGATCGAGCACAACGATGTATTCGCCTGGACCCACTCAGACATGCCGGGTATTGACCCCTCATTCATAACCCACCGCCTCAGCATTGAACCCCATTTTCGACCTTACCGCCAGAAGCAGCGCATTTTTCACCCGGAGCGCAATACTTTCATCGCCACAGAGGTCAACAAACTCTTTAAGGCACAATTCATCAAGAACTTGGACTACCCTAAATGGTTGTCAAATGTAGTCCTGGTCCGCAAGAACAATGGTAAATGGCGACTCTGTGTCGACTACTCAGACCTCAACTGAGCTTGCTCCAAAGACAGTTATCCTCTTCCCCGCATAGATCTGCTGGTCGACGCCACGGCCGGTCACCAAATGCTTAGCTTCATGGCTGCCTTCTCTGGGTACAACCAAATTCTGATGCACCTATCTAATCAGGAACACACCTCCTTCATTACTGACCGAGGCACCTATCATTATTGTGTGATGCCATTTGGACTGAAAAATGCTGGGGCCACCTACCAACGGTTGGTCAACGCCGTTTTCCATCATCAGATTGGTCGAAATATGGAAGTATATGTCGACGAACAAATTGGTATAATTATGCTGTTTGAGAATAGGAATAAGATCTTGAACAAGAACCGGATTCCTATTCTGAGATTTGTGAGGTACTTCCATGTAAGCAGCAATAGCTAAAGGTTTTGTACCTGTACCACTACTTACAGGTTGTAACTCCAAAGGTTGGGTAGGTGGATGGATAGACACAAAGTTTTGACCATCTGTACTAACCCAAGTTTGCTGAATTTTTTCAATTACATTCATTTGAGATTCTGTAGGGGTTATGTTTTGAACATACCAATGGGGAAATGACTGGATTATTTGATGTTGTTCCAAGTATTCATAATACTGAAGCTTGTATTGTTGTAACTGGGAAGGAGTATGGATTTTAAAATATCATTCCCTAAATGTCCTGTATTCTTCTTTCTGTAAGTCTTTATTAAGGGCTAATCTGATCTTACTATTTGGTGTAAAATCTATTAAAGTTCGAAATTCATGTCACTGGCTGTAGGGCTATAAGGCCTTTCTTGCCTTCTGGATCCGTAAATACCATGTGGTATTTGGTTTTCTGAAAATTGTACTCCCTGTACTATAGGATCTGTTTCAAGTTGGATATTACTAGGAGACCTGGATTGTGGTTTTATGGACTCAGCAGGTTCAGAGTAAGACTGCCGAGATGACTCTGGCAGATCTACTCTGTATGATGGAGCAGTTCTGTAACTAGCACTGGACATACTTCGAGAAAGAGATCTGGGTGGTCTCTTGAAGGTAAGGAATACATTCCCACCTTGGGTCTGAATTACCTCATCTAAGTTTGCTGAATAAGTGGCCTAGCTAGAGCAGCTTGGTTTATTTGCCATCTTTCTGGAAATTTGATTTCCTCCCAAGGTATCATCTTAGGTACTGCTACCTGACTACTGTAAAGGTTTGTGTCTATTCGGATTGTGTGTCCTGCTAGACTTTGTTTCCTAATATATGGATTTAAAGTTGTTAGAACTTTCAGATATATCTTGGAAATTACCGCATAGGGTGGTGATCCTGGAAGATATTTGTATCCATTGGATAATACTCTAAGTTCTAATACTTTAGATAAGTTTGCATCAGAGAGTGCTATATTCAAATTGGGATAAATATCAAAATAAACTGGACCATGCGAGAGACTGGTTTCTACAGCTCCCATAAGTGATGCTTTCCAGTCTGTGCATCTTCCATCTCCTAGTGTACACTAGAGACTGGTATTTTGGCCTAAAAGTGTCAAAGGCTTGAAAGCAATCTGAACAAGTCCTATATGGACATACTTGTATTTCTGGATAAAAGGATATAAATCCTGGAAATGAAGGAGATATATTATCTCATCATTATTCTGGACAGGTGTAGCATGCTCAAATGTTTTGATTATTTTCTTACTAGAAAAGTCAAAAGTTCCTATCTTATAGATAGTATCTGGTTTGACCTTAAGGATTGTCCACTTATCTAGAGCTTCCTTCACATCCTGATAAGCAACAAGTTCTCTGGCCTCTGATGTAGAGGCTACTGTATTGGCTACTGTATTTGCTACTGTATTTGTCACTGAGGCAACTTCTTCTGTAGGTTCAGTACTCATTTATGAGTGTATGTGACCATATATGTATAATTAAAATTAAATAAAACTAACTATAATTAACATTAAACATGGCTCTGATACCAATCATGGTGCTTGACACAGGATAAAGCTAGCACGTCTGTCAACGACTTACGTAATCAAATGACCTAACCGCAATCACTGCTAACGGTCTGATACTACTTGATTGGGTGATATCCCACTAACCCTATCTCTGTTATACCCATCATAAAGCACTAACCCAGGAATAACATTAATTATAGTTTCATTTTATTTTATTCTAATTATGCCATATATGGTCTCATGATCTACTATACTGGAGGGGGAGGCCGAATGGCCGTAGCCAAAAGGCAAATCTGCTCTTGCAGTTGATCCTGAACTTCAGTAATTTTTTGATTACAAGTTTCTAATTCTTGGAGACCCCAAGAATCATTAGGCCAGATTGATAAATAATAAATAATATTATTTTTTCTTACTTGATAATAATCTAATATTTCATTTAATATGGACAGAGAATAAACAGACATACATTAAAAGGAGAAATACTTACAAACAATACTTACTTCCAGTACAACAAACGTTTATTATTATACTTTCACAAAGTAGAGAGAAAGTACACTCTGAGAGAGAGAGGGAGAGAATAATATGAAACTGAAAAACTAATATATTTTGATTCGTGCCATCAACAAGGGTGTGGCGTCCCTTATATAGGAAAATAAAAATAAAAGGATAAGATCAAGCGAGACAAGTGGCGTGTCCTGAATGGTGGTGGAGTCGATCATCTTATCTCCTTGGATTCCCTTATCTGGAATAGTGTCGGTAGATAGACAGTTGGAGGATAAGGCAGATGAAGGAATCTGCTTGTGACCTAAAGCAAAGTTGTCATTTTGTTGAGCTGTAAAGTTGCTACCGAAAGTTATTTTGTCGTAGCATGGTACTGGACAAAGAGATAAATTATTCCTCTTTTCCTTTTCCCTTTCTGTCCTTTTCTTGACTCATCTTGTCGGCAATCATGCTTGTGAGAGAGTCCCAGAAGTCGCCAAAATTAGGATCGGCTTCGGCTTCGGCTGGATCCTGTGATTCACCGGCTAGAACAGTGAATTCATTTTCATCCTCATATGGATCAGTATGAGGTTCATCATCTGGATCGCCGTGACTGGTACCAGATTTCATGTTGGTATCATCTTTAGGAAAAGATTGGAGAAATTGTTCCTTCATATAATCCGTGCTTTTGATGATTAATTCCTGTTTGGAAAATGCTGGATATTTTTGTCGTAGTTCATTTTGAATTTAGACAAAAAGATTCTGGACTGGTGCAGCTGGGATTAGCTTTGGAGTAGCATCCCAGCAGGCCTGAGTATGACCTTTAATTTTCTGGAGCAATTCTTGATGGGGTTTTGGATCATCCATCTTATTCCACCACTTATAAAAGAAAACTCGTTTTAAACGAGGAATTTTATTCTGAAAATCACATTGAAAATCCCACTTCTATATCCACGGGATTCCAAAGCGGATGACAAAATGAATTGTAGATTTTGACATAGATATGTCCTTATATCCTGGAAGGTGACTGTATGCAATTTGCTATTCTTTGAATGCATTGCGAACATCTTCTGGAAAAGCATCAATTTGAATGCTAGAACAGAGTTAGGGTTAGTGGGACGTCACCCAAGTCGCGTAGTATCAGACCGTTAGCAGTGATTGCGGTTAGGTCATTTGATTACGTAAGTCGTTGACAGACGTGCTAGCTTTATCCTGTGTCAAGCACCATGATTGGTATCAGAGCCATGTTTAATGTTAATTATAGTTAGTTTTATTTAATTTTAATTATACATATATGGTCACATACACTCATAAATGAGTACTGAACCTACAGAAGAAGTTGCCTCAGTGGCAAATACAGTAGCCAATACAGTAGCCTCTACATCAGAGGCCAGAGAACTTGTTGCTTATCAGGATGTGAATGAAGCTCTTGATAAGTGGACAATTCCTAAGGTCAAACCAGATACTATCTATAAGATAGGAACTTTTGACTTTTTCAGTAAGAAAATAATCACAAACGTTTATCTGTACAAAGTTTTTACCACTTTGCTTTCTAAATAGACCATGCGAGAGACTGGTTTTTACAGCTCCCATAAGTGTTGCTTTCCAGTCTGTGCATCTTCCATCTCTTAGTGTACACTGAAGACTGGTATTTTAACCTAAAAGTGTCAAAGGCTTGAAAGCAATCTGAACAAGTCCTATATGGACATACTTGTATTTTTGGATAAAATGATATAAATCCTAGAAATGAAGGAGATATATTATCTCGTCATTATTCTGGACAGGCATAGCATGCTCAAATGTTTTGATTATTTTCTTACTGGAAAAGTCAAAAGTTCCTATCTTATGGATAGTATCTGGTTTGACCTTAGGGATTGTCCACTTATCAAGAGC